ACATTCCACATGTGGATGTTGGACCAGCTCTTCTGCACTGCCACCCCTCCTACCAGTCTCAATGTGCTTTCTTCTTTAATTCTCTAGTTTTAGGACTTCCATTCAGCCAGATTTCAGGCAGTTCTGAATGATGGTTGTTCTGTATTTCAGTGGTAATTTTGATGTGGTTGTGGGAGGCTGTGTTTACCTACACTGCCATCTTGGTTCTTCTCCAAGTACAAATCTTTTATATCTTTGGTTAAATTTATTTCTAGTTATTTTATCCTATTTTGTTTTTGATGCAATTGTAAATTAGTTTGCTTTCTTAGTTTCCCTTTCTGACAGTTCATTGTTGGTGTATAAAATTAAAACTCTTTCTGGATATTAATTTTATATCCTGCTACTTTGGAAAATGCATTTATTAGATCTAATAGTTCCTGGTGAAGTCTTTATAGTTTTCCATGTGCAATATCATGTCATCTTCAAATAATTACATTTTTTGTTCTTTTTTTTCTTATTTGGATGCCTTTTACTTCTTCTTGTCTGATTGCTGTGGCTAGGAGTTCCAGTACTACGTTTAATATGAGTGGTGAAAGTGGACAACTCTGTCTTGTTCCTGATCTTAAGGAAAACACTTTTCATTTATGTCCATTTAGAATGATGTTGGCCATAGTTTTGTCATATATAGTTTTTATTTATGCTGAGATATGATCTATCTATTCCACTTTGCTGAGACTTTTTATCATAAATGGATGCTGGATTTTATGAAATGCTTTTCCTTTATCTATTGCTGTGATCATGTGATTTTTATCCTTCATTTTGTTTGTGATGTATCATGTTTATTGACTTGCAAATATTGTACTAATCTTGCATACCTGGAATAAATCTCACTTGATCATGGAGTATGATCTTTTGTAATGCATTGCTGGATCCTGTTTGCTAATATTTTGTTTAGAATTTTGGCATCCAATTAGTTACAACTTGGTCAGATACCTAGTCTTAGTGGTAAAAGAAGTGAGGATATATAGTGTTTATTCTGGGCAACCATGCACTCAGCTATAAACTTTGTTACTGGGTTAGAGAATTTTTATCACAGGATAATTTGCTTACTCTGCCACATAATGCTTCTATAGGCCAAGTTACTGATTGTGATCTCCCAAACATGTATCTACGAGGTTTTTTATTCCTGGGCACTCACCAGAGAAACTTGTCTTCCCTTTTGACCTATAATTTCATCAGAGTCAAAAAAAAGTACTGCCCAGACAATGTTGCCCAGTGGTTGAGCACTGACCTATGAACCATGAGGTCATGGTTCCATTCCTGGTCAGGGCACATGCCGGGGTTGCAGGATCGATCCACAATAGGGGGAGTGCAGGAGGCAGCTGATCGATGATTCTCTCTCATCATTGATGTTCCTATCTCTCACTCTGCCTTCTCTCTGAAATCAATAAAAATATATTAAAAATAAAAGTACTCTGCAGCAGAGTTTCAGCTGAACAGTCCACCTCTGCCTCTTTGCCTTACCCCTACCCTTAGGACCCACTTACTCAAGCCAGCAGGGATCCACCAGACAAGCAAACATGGGCTTTCTCTATGCTCTGGATACCCAAAATTCTACTTTTTTGTCACTTGCCATATTGTACAACCTATAAATCTTATTTGGGTCTGTCTTGATTTATTGGTGACTGTAAATGTTCCCAATTCTGGGGCTATTTTCAATTTCAAATCCCTCCTGGAAATCATACCATACAAACCATATACTTCCCTTCTCCAACCCCCCCCCCCCCGCCCCGCCAACCACCATCTACCACATCCATCAATCAGGCTTGTCCAGCCAAGACTAAGGGCCTTGATAAAGCTGTCTTTGTGTTTCTTGTTCCTTCTTCCTGTGGTAACTGCTCTGGGAAATGAAGTGGTCCTTGTTAATGAAAATAATGGGGCTGAGTAATAAAATGGCCAGACCACTGGAGAAATGGCCTTGGATTCTTCAGACCCCCAGGGCAACTGTTCTTGTTCCATAGTTCTAGTTTCTCTGAGTAGTAGACTTTCTCCAGGGCATGACTGTCACTAGAAATCCGGGGAGGATGGGTGCATTTATATTCTCCATTTCATGAGCTTTTAACCCCATGGGATGCCAGAGTGAAAAGGGGGCTTTTTAGAAATCACAAAGCCTAGCTGGTCTGGTTCCCCTTATTTTATGGATAAGGTAACTGTGAGCCAAAGGATAAATGACATGATATGTCCAAGATCCACAGCCAGTCCGAAGCAGGATCTGGATTAGAAGGCTGGCCTCTTGTCAAATAGCAGTTAATGTGGATTGAGTGTTGCTATATATCAGACACTTTTGTAAGCACTTTATACATATTGATCCACTTAACACAAAACCCTATCAGGTGGGTGCTATTTATTACCATCTCCATTTTACAGATAAGGAAACTGAAGACTAGATTTGTTAAGTAAATTTTACACAGTCACAAAACTAATAAGTGGAAGAGTCAAAATTCAAACCTAGGGCATCAGCTCCAAACCCCATACTCTTAAACATTCTGCTTTCCTGCCATTCAGAGTCTAGACCTGGAAGATTATTTAGCCCTGCCCATGTCTGACAGATGATTCTACCAACCATCTGGACTAGCCTGGCAGATACAGAAAAGGGCAGGATTTTTCTGGAAATGGCAGCAACTGGGTCCTGCTGATCCCAGTAAAGTTCTCAACCACAGCCCATGTGTGGAGGAGCAGCAACATATTCTGTGTGATGGAACAATACTGAATTGGATACTCTAGGATGACTGCTGTTAATCTGAATCTTTCTGCCTACTTCATGCTTTGCTTGGTGGAATTTGCAGTGCTAACTGCTCTCCCTGAGGAGGGAGGTCTCCTCTGAAGGATGTCACAGGTAGGGACCCATATACAGTTAGTTTTAGATATATTGTCCTTTGGAAGCATAGTTTTAAGAAAATGGAAGAGACACTTCCAGTTATCTACACTCTTCAGAAATTGCGTAAATGCATAGATCATAGATGACACAAGTTTCTTAGGACTGCAGGGAAATAAAGTGAAGTAGAAAACTTAAGAAAAAGAGACAGCCTGCAGAAGGGGAAAGGGAAGGAGAAGGAGATTACTTTGGTGGATATCTGGAGATCCATTGTTAAGAATTGCGCCCCCCCCCCCTCCACTCCATAGTTACCTGCATGTTTTCCCTTCATCAGCAACTGGCACTCCCAGAAAGGATTTTCAGCCCTTATTAAAGGTCAGGAAAGAATCTGCCTGATCTTGGCCTGTGATTAACAAGAGAGAACATTTTGATCCAAGTGACTCCTTCAGAAGGATACACTTTTCTGCTCCTGATGCATTGACAACCCAGGCCTGGCTTTTCCTCTTGGCAAATGTTGGCATAAATGTGTAGAAATGAGTTTGCCTCAACACCAGTAGCTCTAGAGTTTGAGGTATTATTTTCCAGAGTTTTGAAAGGAATGTACCTGGTACGAGATCCAAGTGAAAATGACTTTAGGGAGAAGTGGCTGCATGGGGTGCAGGAAAAAAACTTGGTTTGAGGTTTCTTTGTTGCCTCATTTTTTTTCAGTTCTAAACCACATGTATCTGGGGGAGTTATAAATACTTCAGTCTCAGTTTTTTTCCAGATTTATTCTTTTCAAAGGATCAACGCAAGTTAAGTATTGTTAGAGACAGTGCTGACATTTAACCACAATGCACTGGTTCAGCCCTTTTGGTTGGCTACTGGTTAGGAAAAAATGCTATAGTGGTTAGGAGCACAGGCTTTGGAACCAACTGCCTAAGTTAAATCATAGTGCTACCATTTACTAAGTGTATTCTTAGGTGACTTAACCTCTTTTTGTCTGTTTTATCATTGTTTTAAATGAGGATAATAGTAGTACTTATTGGTACTTGTGTATCTCTTGATGATAGATAGCCATACGTGAATGCTATTCACTCTTGTTAGTGTTCAGGACATCAAAGGACAAAGATTCTTTCTATCTGTGTCCCAAGTCAACATTTCAAATTTATGTCAAAATTATTATCTTCCAAGCTACTGGACTATAGCTCCTAACTTTTTCTTTTCTCTTTTTTTTAAAAATATAGTTTTATTATTATTTCAATTATAGTTGACATATAATATATTAGTTTCATGTAGACAACCCAGTGGTTAGACATGTATATGACATAAATTGATCACACCCATAAATCTAGTACCCGACTGACACCATATATAACTATTATATTATTGCTTATATTCCCTATGCTGTATTTTACATCTCATGACTATTCTGTTACTATCAATTGATACTTCTTACCTTTCCTTTCTCACCCATCCACCCAAACCCACTCTTATCTGGCAACCATCAAAATGTTCTCTGTATCTTTGAGTATGTTCCTGATCTGCTTGTGTGTTTATTTTATTCATTTTTTTATTGTTGAGAGTATTCCAGATGTCCGCTATCTGCCTGCCTAACCCATGGGAGGTGGGGAGGAGATTGGATCTTGTTCCCAAGCCACTCACTTCAATGTTCATCTAAGATTCTGTCTATAGTTTTTTCAGGAAAAATTAAAGCTCACCACAGGAGTCTGTTGGATATAGCCAACAGTCCTTTATGCCATATTTGAGCTTGGCAGGGTGGTGACACCAGTATTTGGAGGACGGGGTTAGTGAACTTTCTCTAGCTTGTGCTGTAAGAGTAGAAGTGATGGGCCCTGGGAGATGGTGCCTGAGAGCAGCATGGGACCTCAGAAGCCTACCTTCCATATCTCCAGAGCTGTGCCACCCAGACACTTTCCTTATGGCTTCTGTATGCCCTTAGTCTCCTTCCCTCTATTAGAGCCCTGGGTGAGTGCCCAAGACTGAATCCCTGTGTGTTAGTTAAGGAGATTGCTCTGGATTCAAGCAGACTTCCTCCTCTTTCCAATGGACAAAGTCTGCACTTATTTTTGCTGCCAAATGCTATTCAAGCTCTTCTTACAAGTCCTGGTGTTCTGGATTGGGGGTCCCAGAATGGGGTTGAGACCCATTTCCTCCAGAAGGGGCTTTTGCAGCTACAATATTTCTCAAGCTTCACAACTGCTGTCCCTTGGTGCAAGGACCAGTTCTTCCCGTGTCTCTGTCCTTCTTAGCAGTCTCTGTGTAGCACAATTTTTTCATATATCTTATTCAGGTGTTGTTTTGCTGTTAATTCAGGTTGATTGACCTAAATTTTAGTTGTAACTCTGGTTCAGAGCTGGGAGGAGGTGTATGTTGCTTTTACCTATTCCACCGCCATCTTGGAACTCTTGTTTATTTTGTTTTTTTTTTGATTCCACATAATAAATGAAATCATCTGGTATTTGTCATTCTCTGTCTAACTTATTTCACTCAGCACAATACCCTCTAGGTCCATTAATTTTTTTGCAGAAGACAAGATTTAATTTTCAATGGCTGAGCCATATTCTTTTTTTATTATTTTAAATTTTTTTGGTGTGACATTAGTCTACGTGAATATATAGGTTACATGTGTGGGTTACTAATTTACAAAATCTGTATATAGGACCATGTGTCCACCACCCAAAGTCAAATCTTCTCCTGTCACCTCATATTAGAACCCTCTTCTTCCCCCACCCCCTCCCTCTGGCAACCACCACACTGCTGTTTGTGTACATGAGTTTCAGTTTTATATTCCACATATGAGTTAAATCATATAGTTCTTAGCTTTCTGTTTGACTTATTTCACTTCACATAATGTTCTCAAGGTCCATCCATGTTGTTGTAAATGACTCTATTTCACCCTTTCTTATGGCCATGTAGTAATCCATTGTGTATATATACCACATCTTCTTTATCCAGTCCTCTATCGTAGGGCACTTTGGCTATTTCCAACTCTTGGCCACCATGAATAATGCTACAATTAACATAGGGGTGCATATATCTTTGCATAGAAATGTTTTGAGTTTTTCGGGTATATACCCAGGAGTGGAATTGTTGGGTCATATGGTAGCTCTATTTTTAATTTTTTGAGGAATGGCCAGACTGCTTTCCATAGTGGTTGTACCAGTCTACATTCCCACTGCTGATGGGAATGTAGGGTTCCCTTTTTTCTACAACTTCTCCAACACTTGTTGCTTGTCTTGTTGATAATGGCCACTCTAACTGGTGTAAGGTGGTATCACATTGTAGTTTTAAAATGCATTTCTCTGATTGCCAGTGAGGTTGAACATCTTTTCATATATCTATTTGTATGTCTTCTTGGGAGAGGTATATTTCCAGGTCCTCTGCCCACTTTTTCCATTGGATTGTTCATTTGTTTGGTGTTGAGTTTTATGAGTTCTTTATATATTTTGGAAATTAAACCTTTGTAGGAGCTACTGTTTACAAATATCATCTCCTATCTGTTTGGCTGCCTGTTTGTTTTGTTGTCCACTTTTGCTGTGCAGAAGCTCTTCAGTTTGATATAGTCCCATTCATTTATTTTTGCCTTTACTTCCCTTGCCTTTGGGGTCAAGTCCATAAAATGTTCTCTACCA